TAACTTTATGTCATTTGTTATATTTGATATGTTTTGCAGATGTATAGTATGTATATAAGAATTAAATTCTAGTCTATTGCTAAAATGCACGAAATGTATAAAAGTAATTGGTTTCAAACTTACAGTACTGCACAGTACAACAAACTGGCAATTAGATCTTAATGTAACATCAGTGATTTAATGGGTAGGAAATTTTCCTAATGCACTTTACAGACCAGAATCAAGGAATCATAGGAGAAGCGAAAATCTAAAGCTCAATATCAGATTGCCTGTTAATATAATGAAGGAGGAAAAACACATCTCATATTAACCCAGTGCACACAGTAAGTTGATAGACTCTGTCAGGATTTTATAGACTATGTTACACTATACTATTAATTTTGGAAAAAAAAAACATTGAGTGAAATGTAATAATTCCTCAGACATTTATATATTCTGCTCACTTAAAAAACTTTAAAAAGCTTTCAGTTGAGGTCACAAAAGATATCATTGAAAGTCCCCTTACAGTAGATAAAAGAGTTCCCAGTGTCTAGCACCTGCTGTTTTGTTAAAGTCACTATAGGCAATATTTGCATAAAGGTATATTTTAAATAATCTTCAAGTGTAAAATGAAGCTTGTACACTCTCCTCTTCACAAGCAGTTTCTGGAAACTGTAGTGAAGGTACAGAAACCACTACCAAAAAAAAAGAAAATAAAGCTCTGTTTAATGAAGATGTTATCCTTCATTTTGCATTTTTAAAACTCATTTGACACTTGTAGACTTACCACATGACGTGGAATCAAATAGCTGCTGTTTTTAATAAACACTTTTTCATTTTTAATTGTTAACATGTCATCTGCAGCTGGGAAAAAGGGAGGAGCAAAATCCTGTGATACGTCGAGTCGACACATGTACTGTATGTTAAGCGCCAGAAAATGTTGCCTGAAATGTCTTGCTAAAGCCCAAATGAATCCAAGCAATCCAAACAAGCAAACTGTCTATTTTATGTCTTGAATGGAAACTTACTTGTATTGGGACTGATCATTTCCTCCAACATCAGGACACATCAGCTTCTGTACCAAGATTCTTATTATGCTTATAAAAAGAAGAAAATTTAGCTGAAAGAAAGGCAAAGAAAAAATATTTTCTTTAAAAAAATGAACACCACAAAAAGCAAAAACAATAAACCATTCAATCCAAAAGGATCACCTTCTTTATTATTTTTATTTGGTTGAATATATCGTCAGGGTCACTGAAATACTTTAGTGTGCCTCAGCTACTGTCTTTTTTACTTCTCAGCACCTTGCAATGTTGAATTATTAGTTTACAGTAACACAGTAGTTACATGTATTTAATAAAGCTCTCTTTTTAATCTTAAAATCTACAGTGCAATGTCTGTGCATTGTTCAGCTTATGATATATTTTAATTCTGCATTTGTTTGGTATGACTGAGCAGGCATGTACAGTACTGTATCAGCTGCAGTGCTACATAGTCCAAAAATGGTACAGTATGTGAAATAACGACGTACAGTCATCTCATGCCTTCTTGGATAATGGTAAAAACCCTTAACTATCTGTTAGGGTTAATTTCTGTGTAATCTTTATTCACAGATCATATAAGAACAGAACATTTTCTCCCTTGCACAAGGCCAAAAACGCCCCTGTCATCTGGGTACTCTAAATTAGCAGGTCTAATACCCTAATGGGCATTTATTCTCTACACTAATTATGCTGTTTTTTACAGAACTGCAGTATACAGTATTTGTGTATGCAAGCAAGAAAACCTCGGTTAAATGTCTGTCTGATCTGCATGTCCCAGCTCTGACTGTGCAGTGTAAACATTCCGAATGCTATCGTTTGCACTTTTTTATAGTTAAGATGTGTTACGTCCCAGTGTGTGTTCTGTGTGTGTTTTTTCTGTTATGTCCACACTGTTGACCCTTGATTGTTCTACCTTCCCCATTGGCCAACCATCACACCACTGTTTCAATATGATGTCATCATCAAACAGCCCTCAGCCAATCAGAACACATCTTATTCACTATATAACATGGAGGCTTTAGGAAAGAAGAGGCCTTTTGTTTGACTTTGGTCCTGTTCGGTTTTGGTTATCGCTTCGCTTCGCTTCGCTCCTGGTTATTGCTTCGGCTTCGTTTGTTGGTTTGTTTTGCTTTGTGTGTGTGTATTTTCGTATAGCTTCGGCTTTGTTGTTTTGTTGTATTTACGTTAGTTTCTTTGTACTTTCGTTTGTTTGTGTGTTCATCCTTGTTTTGTCATTACCTTGCCCCAGTGTTACATGTTCAACTTTTGTGTTCTTTTTGTACCCTGCTCCTATTTATTACTCTTGTTTTCCCTTATTTGTCTTTCTGGTTCACTTGTGTTTTTGTGTGAACTTCTGTATATAAGGTTAGTTTAGGTTGTTGGATACACTTACACACTTAGTTGATTTTGTATTAGTACACTAGTTTAGTACGGGTGAGTGCTGTTTGTCTTGTATGGTTTTGGGTAGTCAGTGCAGGTTAGCTAGGGCGTTGAAGACACCGAAGACCGTGTGTTTCGGGGTTTGTTTTGTAGTCAGATTAGCTTTCCCTCACTGTCCTAGCCAGCTCCATTTTTGTTTATTTTCTTTCCTTTGGCACCACTCTAGTTCCTTACCCTTATCACGCTTCCTAGTCCCTCACCAAAACCCCCCCTGCTTCCAAAAGAACTATCCTAAATGTTACACCCCTTTTCCCCTAGACACTTGGGGTCATAACAAGATGGTAAGTGTTTTTTATTATTAAAATGTTTTTAATTACATTTGTGTACATCAGAATAATTTCATCAGGGTCATTTAAGACTCAAACACTTTTCCTGATTGGAAAATCCCAAAGTAAGACAGTATTTGATATCTTCAAAGGTCTTGTCTACCAGTGGAGTGTCAGCTTCATGTTTTACCAGATGTATTCACAAAGTCTTAAGACAACAACAAACCCACCAACAAATTAGTGTATACTAAAGGATCCCGAAGCGATTTACAGATAATTGGGGACCCATGTAATCTACCATTAAAGTTCAACAAACACCTGCAGTCTTTCTGTGCCTGCAGCCCCACTACAGAGAAGATCAGGTAAAGAAACACGCTCTCAGAGGTTTATAGGGTGACTCTGACTTGTTTTTTTGAAAGACTTAATTACAGCATGAGTGAAAAGGATAGGAAACAGAAACAATTAAATGAAAGATTTTTTTACTGCTTCTCAAAAAAAAAAAGGAGATGCATAGAAATTCCTATCAAAGCACAATTTAGATTTCTGTCTCATTTTGCATCTCAGAATGTCACTTATTCAGCATTCCCTCAGTGTCAAGTGATGTAGATGAACACTGCAATAATACATCAGCTTATACATATTCAAGCATTGCTTTCTATTTCACTGCCTGCAGACTCTCATAAGTGAGGTACAATGAAATATGCACATGAATCTCTGGAGAGGTGAACCTCAGCTGTGATACATTTTCCTTCTGCGTGTTTTATCTTGTATAATGCTGTGGCTTCACACTTTTCAATTTCACCACAGGATTAAAGAATATATATTTTTTCATTATCACTCATGAGCACAAAGTATGTAAAAAAAAAAGATTATGCTGTACTTACTACAATGGAAATTATAATTGGGCTGTTGATAATCCATTTTGGAGTATCTTTATCAGTCATATCCCAACAACTGAAAAAGAAATTAGCCAGGGTAATCTAAGAAAACAACACATTTTGAGTTTATATTCTTCATCCTGTGTATTATGAAAATGTTGTGTACTTCTATCATCCATCCAGTTTAACCCTCGTATTATGTTGATAAATAGATACATCCATTGTGTTGTGGATCACATCGACCTGCACAGTTTAAGTCTACTCAAAACTTAGTTTTGGTGCATTACTCAGTAGAGTAATGAAAAAAATAGTAAACTTGTTTTTATTTTAGCTCTCCTGGCCATCTACAAAGGACAATACAAGAGCATTTCTATTACAAACACTACACTGAATAACTGGTAATCGTCTTCAAGTATGCATACTTAGATGATCCCAGAAACACATTGGTGGGGCATTGAAACTCTAAGGCTGAAGGACATACTCTAGGTGTTTACTTCAAAAACCCAAATACACTGGCAGTATTTGTTCTAATATACTAATAAAATTTTAGTGTACTGTACCATAACTAGCCCTTTTCTAACACAGCCACTTGAAGTGGAATAAATCTGTCAGACAGGCCTTTGAAACGCATTTTGCACAATTACAGTACATGATTAACCAATGATGGAGACCACAAAGAGAAACTGTCACTCAGGTTAACCATTTTTATTGCAAACACAAACTTGAACCTTGGATTGCATAGTGTGGATCATAGGAATCTAGTTAAAATTACTGAAATTAAATGTGAATTTCAGTTCACATTTATTAAATATAGTTTAGTGCCATGATTTTTTTAACTACATATTGTTTGCAGTTTCGATATGCTTAAATGAATTGCGTATAACCAAAAACCTATAAAGGGAAACTAACTACCAACACAGTTTATACTTTTCTTACCTACTGCATGTCATTTCATAATATTTAATTTTTTCAGAAAGAAAAGAATAAAATTCCATCTTAGAGGTGGCAATATTTTGTACGCCCACACTGGGTCATTACATGCTTGCTGAAACATGTCCCATAATTCTAGTTGTTCTTTTCAAAAACGTTTGGCCAATTAACTTTAAACTTGGTAGCTATCATTTGGTGACAAAAGTTACATAATGACAAAATAGGAGTTCTGTACAATTTGTTCTCTTGCTGATACAGTACATATCCCATACTACACTGCTCCAGAGGAACTGTTTTGTTCGCTCAAGGTTTTGCCTTGTAATTGTATTTTTTTAAGGATTAGAATAATCGCTGTCTTGGTTTTTTACTACCTTTGTAGAGATATTCATCAGACTCTTTCAATGTGTGTAGCAAAAAAGGCAATAAAGAATTTAAATGGGGTGAAAAACAAAAGAAAAAATGGCATGTTTAAAAAATATGTTTAGTCAATCACTCATTTTAATATGCCCATCAACTAATTAGTGGAAGCTAGATTTGGACAAAGAAACAGTTTCCAGATTTAAGGACTATGTTGAAAAAATATTATTTAGCTTTATTACTGTGTTTATAATTATCAGTGAATTATTGATGAATTAACATATTCAATGTGGCTTGCTTCTATAATGCAAACGGAATAAGATTTAAATGAAGTTCACAGCATTTTCCTGTAACCCATCTAATATTTTCTAACAACATTGCTGACACTGACTTCTCTACTTACCCAGTATCTTCCAAATATATCCTTGCCACAATCCATGCAATTACAAACACAGCTGGAATTCCTATAAAAATAATAAAACACGATTTAATTACACAGTGCAGTGTGCAAGATAAACAAAATCAACTGTATGACTTTAACCACGAATTATGTTTGTTTTGTATTATTTGTAAACAAACTTGCATTTTTAATTATTCTTTTATATACAGTATAATGTTGTGTGTCAGGGGTATATTAAGATATATATCTTAATACTGTAGCTACTCCCCTTTCTCCTCACCACCACTCAGTTCTATCGGAAGTCAGTCTTTACTTTGGTCTTGGAAAAGAAAATTAGACTTGATAGTCCGGTTTCCCAAAATAACCACAGTGAGTGACCAAATTAAAGATGTTGATTTATAAAATGTTTATGAAGAAAAATGTTTTTTTTCACAGCCTATACTTGCTATATACTGTATGTATATTATTTTTTAATTATTTATCATTAATGAATCAATAATGTGAATAATCGAAAATGTCCCTTTAGTTACATGATTCCATATTAGGTGGATTTAAAGAAGTACAGTAGTGAAACATTACTGTAACAGAAAGAATAACACACCACAACTTTCACCTACTGATCTTCTTCAGCAAGTGAAAAGTGAAGTTGGGTGTCCTGAATGATAGAGCATTAAGCTCTGGCAAGCTTGCCACAGGAAAAACTGCTACCGCATACAGTATGTGAATGGCTCCATCCGAATACTGAATATTCTCCCTTTGAGTGATAGGTAAGAACAGACAGAGACGTATGTGGAAGATGCCCAAATATAGTTACAAAATAGCAAGCTAAGAGGTAAATGACAAGTTTAGAAGATTGTATGTCAGTGTATCAAATGTGCCACCATCATAATTCTCATTCTCATCCTTCCGAACTGAAGAAGCTAGAGTGCTGTGAGTAAGCACTACTTTCCTACAGCCTGTAGGGACTGTGGTTTTTTATGACTTGAGGAATATTTATTTGCTTTTTAATACCTGCCTGGAAGGACTCTCTGACATAATATTTTTTTTGGTTTAGGAAAAATGATTTTAGAAAGCAGACTGTTCTGTGAAGGGTTTTTTGACAGCTAAAGCAGACTGTTCTGTGAAGGGTTTTTTTTGACAGCTGTGTCTTGAATCACGTCAAATAGATTGGTCGATCTTTGAGGAGATGAGCGAGGTTGGCTTTGAGCTCTATAAGGTCTGGAGCAGGGAACCTGAACTGGAACTTTATTGCCCTATGTAACTGGTAGACTTACTGATACAATGAATTCTTACTTACAGAAAGTCTCTCGATTGTTTAAAAAAAAGTGTAAAACACAAAGTGCAGACAGTGCATCAAGACAATATACAACAAACAGTAGATAATGTACAAGTAAACAGTTGGAATGTAAACAATGCAGACATCTAAACAATGACTGCAGATGTGAAATAAATAAAATTATAATGAGGCAGATGGTGTAGGTGTGGTCCGAGGAGCATAGCCAAATGTGTTCGCCAATTACACTGCTTGTGGGTAGAAGCTATTGAAGAATCTAGTGGTAAGTGTCCCTATACTCTTGCATCTCTTTCCTGAGGGCAGTGGGGTGAAGAGCTAATGCCTGGGGTGGTGACTGTCCTCTGTGTTGGCCAGAATTCTACCACGGCAATGGTCCACATAGAGCTGTTTAATCTCGTAGAGACCACAGCCGATGATCTTCTGGACCACATTCACCATTCTCTGCAGTGCCTTTTTTTCTTGAGAAGAGGTGTTGCCATACCACACGGTGATCCCGTTGGTGAGGACACTCTCAATGGTGAAGCAGTAGAAGTTCAGCATCACAAGTACTGGCATCCCCGATTGCTTGAAGCACCTCAGGAAATAGAGGCACTGCTGAGCCTTCTTCAACATAATGTCAATGTTCACAGTACAGGTTAGGTCATTAGAAATGTGAATACCCAAAAAACTAAAGCTGGTGACTGTTTCCACTTCCATTCCATCAATACTGAGTGGGCTGCGAGTAAGCTGCCTGTGTCTCCGAAAAGTATAGTATTAGTTATTTTGTTTTACTCTTGTTCAAGTCAAGGTTATTGCAAAGTCACCATCTCAGCAGCTGTACAACTTACAGTACATCCCAGTAAGTGTACTCGTCATCATCACTGATCAGGACTACTATAATTGTATCATCTGCAAATTTAATGATGCAGTTGTTGCTGTGTCTTGCTGTGCAGTTCTGAGTGAATAGGGAGTACAACCTTGCAGTCCGTCCCCGGAGCTTTATCACCAGTTGGCTGGGTATGATTAAATTGAATGCTGAACTGTAGTCCACAAACAGCATTCTCACATATGAGATCTTAGTGTCCAGGTCGTATGTAGAGCTAGGGAGACAGCATCATCTACTGATCTGTTGTTCTGGTAGGTAAACTGCAAGGGGTCCAGGGACTCTCTGATGGAGGAGTTGATGTGTGACAACACCAGCTTCTCCAGGCATTTCATCACCACAGATGTTAATGCTACTGGACGGTAATAAGGCACGTCACTTTTGCCTTAGTGGGGAGTGGAACAATGGTGCTTTTTAAGCAGGTGGGGACAATGGACTATAACAGGGAGGAGGTAAAGATGCCCGTAAATACTGTGGTCAGCTGGACTGCACATATTCTGAGGACGTGGGGTGGTATCCTATCAAGCCCTGCAGCCTTATGGATTTTCACCCTACTCAGAGTTTTCTGCACGTCCTGCTCTGAGAGTTTCAGAGCAAACTTTCCCTATACACCTGGGGTCTTCTCAATAGTGTCTGTGTTCAGAGCATCAAAGCGGGCATAAAAATGGTTCAGCTCATCAGGCAGTGATGTATTGTTCATGTCAATCTCCTGGCTGCAGCACTTGTAGCCTGTGATTGACTGTAATCCCTGCCACAGCCTCCGGGTGTCGACCCTTTGCATTTCAAGCCACACTCTGTAGCTCCATTTAGTATGTTTTATGTCTTTCTCTAATGCATACCATGATTAGCAGTACAGCTGAATCCCCTGATTTGAATGCGGCAGATCTACCTTTTATTTCATTGCGAATTTCGTTGTTGAACCATGGCTTCTGATTGGGAAATGTCCAAATTTTCTTTTCTGGTACACAATTGTCGGTGCGGTATTTAATATGGCTGGTGACCCATCTGTATACTCATTTAAATCTTTGTCGGGAGCTCTGAATGCGTCCCAGTCTGTACAATCAAAGCAGTCTATTAACCTGCTTTCCCCCTCCTCAGACCAACAGCGCACTGACCCATTCGCAATGGGGGAGGTCTTCAGTCTCTGTTAGTAGTCCGGAAGCAAAAGGAAAGCTACGTATGTGGTCCGACTTGCCGAAAAGGACTTGCTCCTTATATTGTTTTGTAGCAGTGGTTCAGAATATTGCCTTCTCTTTTCGGTAGTGATGTCCTGAATG